CGCTTAATAAGCAGGGTATTAGCTTGTACCTAAACCCATCTAAAAGCATGCATTCACATTCTCAGTTTCAATCACAATACTGCAATTGAGCGCTTGTTAAAACTTAAACTTACTTTTTCGAGATGGTATCTGGGCTTAGGTACAAGCTTCCCCTCCACAAGTTTATGTGTCTGTGGTCCCAAGCTCACAAAAGGTTTTGCTCTAATTGGAAATATGACTTGTGTGCCATCTCCAAGGTTGTCTATGTAAGAGTCCCAGTCGGGACATTCTTTTAAAAAAGAACAGCGGTTAAAGTCAGTCTTCTCTAACAAAGTACAACCAGATTTTGTGCTGGGTCTTCCTCGTCCTCTAAAAATATAATTAAAGACATCATGTCTAATTTCTACTACAGTTGTGGCTGAGGCTGTCTGATGTTTGCTCTTGAGATGCTGGAGAATAGCAACTGCCAGTAGATCAGATCCCTCTTTAATTCTTTCCTCTGAGGGTTTGGACATTCTAAATGCCCTAAAGAAAATAGTTGGGATCCATTATTGTCTAAAATACATGCAATATTTTTGCAGAAAGTGAAACAATAACCAAATAAAAACACTAACAAAATTGCTTATAATGCGAAAGATGACATAAAATTGTTATCTTCTCTTCTCGTGTCCCAAACTATTTCGTACTAGATCGAGGAGTAGTAAAAAATTAAGTTCGTACGTTTAATTTTGACTGGACAAAATAATGCTAAAAGAAGCACCTTATTGCGGTTTTATTAAGGTTTTCCTCCACTTCCCACGTGTCCTCCAGCGAACTGTACCCTTTCCAACGAATTAGGTACTCATTCTTAAAGACAAAATACATAGAACACTTGTTTATGTGTGCGGTAAAAAGTGTACACAAGGTTATCAATTCATTAGTGACGTTACGTGCTTCAAACAAGCGTCTTATTTACCTTTCCTTTATTTCTCCTGCAGCTTAAAACTCTTTCCACTTGAAAGTAAGGGCCTTTTTTCCTTTTCCACCGACTCTCAATGAAATCTGCCGTATTGAGAGCATTTAAGCTCCGATAATAGCCTTGGGAATGCTTTCCTCTTCGTTTATCCGCCATCTTGAATGCAGAAATTTACGCGCCCGCCGTTCGAGCCGCTGACTGTACGGGATTTCTGGCTATG